AATAATTTAAAATCTTTGTCAAAATTAAAATTTAAAAAATATGCGCTTAAAGAGTCACAAATTAATATTTAAGAAAAAAATTCTGCAGAAGTCTGGCGGGGAAGTAGTGAAGGAAGCCGGAATGAAAAACATCAGAACGTTTCCTGAAGAAACTTGTAAGTATTTCTAATAATCACCTGTCTCTGTTTCCTCCAGCAATCAAACAGGTTTTGATATTTTCGGTCTCGTTTTTCTCTGTATTGATTCCTCGTTGAGTAGTTTTTCCACGCTAAATTATAAATTTGAAACCCTCGATTATCATAGTTTCCAACTTAATTTTTGACAAGGATTTTAAAATTATATGTTATGGGTGGTTGTTACAAAAATCCAGGAGATTTAAATAAAACGCTATTCGTGAAACATTCGTTTTTATTATTCAACCATTTATGAATAAAAATTAATTATTTTTATTTCGTAAATCGTTATTACGCATTAATTTCTTTTTCGAATAATGATAACTATTCAAATAAAGCCTTGTTATTTTGCGCCATGCAAGCAAAACCAATGAGAACCAAACTTTTAGATTAAGAAAATCTATACCATACTTGCAAAAAGTTAATTTCTACTGCACCTGGACAGGATAAAACATCGAATAAGTAAAAAAAGGGGAAAAAGTGTTTTGCCGAAATAAATTCACTTTTGACTATATCCAAAATATCTGCTATTTTTTATATGACTTAAAATATGCAATGTTGCATACCATTTACCAATTGCAGGAAGACAGTGGCATCAGTATAACGTCAAATTTCGATGATCGCAGTCTTCAATTCTATCACAAACTAAAGTCCCGCAGTGGACTGATTGTTAAGACACGTTTCCCAGCAGATCACCGAAGTGAAGCATCACTGGCTGCGGTCAGTGTGCGGGTGGGTGACCACTTGGATCAGTCTGCGTAGGGACCTCGTTCAACTGTTCTACCGTAAAGTGCTCGATTTCCCTTGCAGGTCGTCGATCTACCGAAGCGGAGGCACCATTCCCTCTACAGAGGATCAAAATTGAGATGGTATGTCTTCGGAACATCCTCAGGGATGTTTCCCAGACAATCGTGAACTGCCCATTGTGCAGCTCTTGTGCGAAGTAAATGACCAACAACAATCACAAGCTAAAACTGTTTCTTTTTTTTCTTTTTGTCTATATACAGCGTTACTGAGGATATCCCTTCACGTTTTCTTGGGTACTGACTTGAAAGGGCAGTTTATTCATGACCTATACATATTATCCAAAAACCAAAGATTTTACAACTTAAATAAGGCATTCTCTTGCTGGAAAATCCGACTTGGGTCAAAATTTTTCTTCCAAATGCCAGTAAAGAGCTTTGAGCATATTTTTTGGAGGGCTAATCGATAGAGCTTTCATACAACCTGGAGGAAAGCCCACGTTAAGTTTACCACTATAACGGAAGCCTTCTCGCAGCATATATAAGCCTTCTTATTGCTGTCCATTTCGAAAAGATTTTCGATTTTTTTCCCCGTCATATACTGTTTCGTTTTATATATCCTACAAGGAACTAGCCATAGAAAAAATATATAGCAGTAGCCCATGTTGAAAACTATCCAAAAGCAAAGGATTTTAGAAAATAAAAGAATTACAATGGCCCAGACAGCTTTGTGTGCTATTATAATGGTATGGGGAAAAAAAGATTATTCATTATACTGTAAGGTGGAACTTCGTTAAATGTGTAGGAAGGCCTCCAGCTGTGGTATTAAACTTAACCTAGCCGTTCCCCAGACTAAGAAATATTGCCGATAATCACGAATTTCTGGAAATCTGTTTATTGCCTTTTGCAGACAAAATTGATGGCCCGATTCGGATTATCTAGCAAAATAACGAATCTATTTAGGTTGCAAAACCTTCATAGTGCTGGTTTCTTGGATAATAGTGTGCATGCCATGAACGACTTGCTCTTTTACCTGAACTATATCCTAAAGAAAACGCAGGGATATCATCAGTAGGACTGTATATTCCAAAAAGTAGCAGTTTCAGTTGGTGGCAGAACTGAAGGTTACCATCATTGAAACATGGATTAATATTAATGATAATGCCTTTCAGGGTTTAGTAAATGGTACGCAACGTTATTTATTTCAAGTTTTTTTTTGTAAGCATTTTGGAAATATTATCCATAATCAGAAGTGGCTGCATTTCGTTCGACGGGACACTTTCCTCATTATTTATTTGTTCGATTTTTCTTTTCTGTCCAGGTGGAGCAGAAAATGAGTTGTACCTTGTAAGTATGTGTCTAGAACACTTGTTAATAGACTTTCTAAATATATATATTTGGTTCTCATTGCTTTCCTTTGCCCCCAGTTATGGCAAAATCAAGGTGGTTTTATTTAAGTGGGATATACTGTATTACGTTTATACAATGAATTTCGAAAATCAAATTGATGTCATATCCTTTTTATAATAATTGAATAAATTGACAAAGGTTTAGGTCAAAATTATCTTTAACTATTATTTGAAAGATAAACTATTATTATTCACTGAAGAGCCAAAAAAACTGGTATACCTCTACCTCCCTAATATCGTGCAGGGCCCCCGCGAGAACGTAGAAGTGCCGCAACACGACGTGGCATGGATTCGATGAATGTGTGAAGTAGTGCTAACACCATGAATCCCGCAGGGCTGTCCATGACATGAACCAGTGGGAGTAAAAGGGGGTGGGGATATCTTCTGAACATCACGTTGCAAGGCATCCGAAATATGTTCAATGATGTTCATGTCCGGGGATTTTTGTGGCCAGCGTAAGTGTCTAAATTCAGAAGAGTGCTCTTGGATCCACTCCCAGACCTGAACATTATTGAACATATTTGGGATGCCTTGCAACGTGATGTTCAGAAGATATCCCCACCCCCTTTTACTCCCACTGGTTTATGGACAGCCCTGCGGGATTCATGGTGCCAATTATCTCCAGCACTACTTCACACATTCATCGAATCCATGCCACGTTGTGTTGCGGCACTTCTGCGTGCTCGCGAGGGATCTACACGATATTAGGCAGGTATACCAGTTTTTTTGGGCTCTTCAGTGTATGTCTATTTTGCTAAATTTCTAATTTAAATTCAAATAATTCTAAATTCTTGAATTGAGCACTAACTGTGAACATCTTTAATTCTGAAAATATTTAATTGCATTTTATGATTCTGATATCACGCATTTTTATTCTTTTGTCAACAAATATATTTTTTATACAAATGTCTTACCTACATACATTATGAGAGATCATTAAAATCTGATAAATGTTCAAGTCGTCTACATTTTCTTTTTATCGTAAAAACAGAATACGAACACTGTCATATTAAATCTTGCATTGAATACAAAGTATTTAGTGACCTTATTTTTGTACTATGTTACCAGGGTTTGACATAGTTTTTTTTCTCTATTTCTGTTAAAGAATGTGCTTTGAATCCACTGTTATTATTAGCATAAGAAAATATTCTACGAATTATGTTTCATTTTGGATTTATTCCAAATAAAATGAATATATTATATTACGAGAATAACAACTCTCCAGCTGGTGAAGTGCGTTACAAATATAGAGGTAATATCTTAAGAATTTATTTAAAAAATGAGGAAAAAAAAAAACATTTTTATATTAAGTTAGACAATAAAAATACTTCAAATGCTATTAATTTTAATTTAAATATTTATACTATTCTGAAATTAAATTTTCATGTATAGTTATCCAAAAAATAAGCTAAATAAGTTAAATATAAATAAGCTAAATATAAAGTTATCCAAAAAATAAGCTAAAAATTTTACATATTTCATAGACTTTATTGATTTTTTGAAGCATATTCTGGTATTAATTAGTATCTATTAATCCCATATTTTGTCACTTAAAGTTTTCTATACTTTTGAAGAACTGTCATTTAATTTCAAGATTAATCAGTAAAAGGTGATCGAAAAACTTAAAATTATATGAAAGATTACTTAAAAAAGGTGATAAAAGTGTTCAGTTTGCTGCATTCTACTTATGAGACAAGTTATTTATACCTGCCAAGTCTCAAAATCGGTTACCAAACTAGTCAATAGATGGCAGTGCTAACTGAGAAAAAGTATTAAAAAAAAATTCCGAAATTACCACAATTTTTAGCAAATATCTTGTGTAGTCTAATTCTGATGTTAAAATTTTAAAAAAACGCTTCCACAGTTGGAATGGTCTGGCAAGAAGCAGAAAACGTTTCATAATTTTTCTAGGCAACGCTTTTTTGATGTTAAAATTAGTAAAGAATTTTGAAACTTGATGAAAAAAACATCTTTTGTCCAAGGCAGTATCAAAGTTATTCTCTTTCATTATTCCTTAATTAATTTATCAAACTGACAACCATTTTTGGCACACGTAGTTAATGATAGTTTAGAGAGACAGTCAGTTTGAAATAGATAAGTCTCTTAACACAAGTTTCTTTTTTCAATTGAAAACCACCTTACTTAAAGTCGGTGAACAGATATGCTCAATACTTTAAGCACAAAATTTTTTTTTAATACAACAAATAAACTCTATTTCAAATAAACTACTTCGTATTTTAAATTAAATATATCACATCAAAAAATTTTCAAATTTAAACTTTAATAGAATAATCTTTTAGTCTTAAGAAGTGCTTTTACACGTAATTATGGATTTACTTTATATTTTAGCTGCATGTTTCTTTTTTCTTCTGATTTTACAGAATCACAATATGAGGAGTTTTGTGTGTTTCATCTTTCTAATAAAACTAGTAACTGCATTTAATGAAACTACTGCAGAGATTTGCATGGACGATGATGCACTGCCGCAGCCATTGGTAGAGAAGAGAGGGAAAGATACAGATTTTCGCTTCATCGGATTCTTTGATGTTCACGAAGG